GTTTAGGCCAACACCTATGAATTGGTGTTTCCACTCATGCAGTGAATATTCATCATCATATAGTTGAAAGCAGAACTCGAAAATGCATTTGCAAGTCGATTGAGCTGGAGTCCCCCGTGAGGAATTTAGCCAAAAACGTGACGAGGATAGTCGATCAACCCCAGTAGAGAGGCATGAGTGGTGGATGTAGTCTAAACTAGGTTGGGGACAAAACGGTCATTTATGCATCCAACGTTCACGTTATCATGTATGATTCTGACTCCCATTCGCTCTCTTGCTGCCTAGTTGTCTGCTGTCTGCTATCCTTCCTCACTTCGCCTTATCCTCATTTTTACATACGCAGATTCCAAAAAAATCTGGAGGAGGCCAGTCGACAGGTCGCCGCTCACAACCGTATGCGAGATCTGCACCACAAATACTTCGCCCTTGATCCCCTCGTCATGCCAAATTATCCCGGAATCTGATGTGATGTATGCCTGTTTCAATCTGCCTTCAGCCCTGATCAGTGTCAATGCCGTCTTGTCACCGACACCCTTTCCCGCGCGTATCTCGGCTGTGTTACTTACTTTACTTGACTTTTACTTTTTTATGCCTAATACTTGCGCTTCCTGCCAGCGCCTTGTTTTTCTACTTATTACGTCCTATACTTATACGTATACATATAATCTGCCAACGTTCCTGCATTTCTTACTATATTCTGCGTTTTATGCCTCATTTTCTTTATGTACGGACATGCACGTTGACTAATCGCACAACCAGTACTTTTGTTTTTCACGCCTGCGCTTCTAATATAGGCCGGAATTTACATTGTTTTGCGTCTACATTTCTGCTCCAACCATTTGCAAATACAGTCATATGTTCACAGGTTTTTGCTGCTTTCTTCCTTGCAAATGCACCACATTTTTTTCTGGTTGGTCGTTCGTCCACAACATCGATTGTGTGAATCTTACAATATAGCTTTCTTTTTTCTGACTGCTAATGTTTAGCAAATTAGTCTTTGACCCCTGTCCCACCAATAGCGCAGTCGGTTTATTGCATGTTCACACTATGCCCAATTTTACTCAACCATAGCCGTCTCCCCATTACCACATTAGGTGGCCTAATCGCTCAAGGATCTTAGAAGAGGTGAAATTATAATCTCTGACCGATGTAATAAAATACTAGCCGAAATTCTTAAGCGCGGCTGTCTGCAAAAACAACCGTCTGCAGGCATTGACGCCTTAAGCAGTACACATTCTTTGTGTTCATTTTCCATATATCTGTATGAATTTCAACATATTTTGCAGAAGGTATGCTGAAAAATATCCTTTCGTATGCTTATCTGATGGCTAATTATCGATTCGTGTATACTGAAAGAAAAGAAGAATTTTTCGGGTTTAAAAAGTTACTGAGTATAGGATTGTTTGAATTTTTGCATAGCATTGTATCCATCCATACAGTAATACGCTTCATGAAATATAAAACATATTTCACGTCCTTCGAATTTTCTTCACAGTAGATGACCTCTAACCACGATGTAGAGGAATGTGTGTTTTTACCTACACGGAGAGCACGCAACCTGTAGACTTAAAATCTTACACGCGAATACAACGAAAGATTGGGCTCAAATATATTCGGGAATGGGAAGACTTTGTTAAAACTTAGGTATATACTTCCTTCAAGTATAAAGTCTGAAGAAGACGTGATTGTCTATCACGGTCGTTCGACCGTCGATTTCGACGATACTCCACAACAGACTGATGAAGGGACAGAAGAAGAAGATGCAACCACTGGAACACGAGTTTTATTCTCCTGACGTTTTGGATCTCGTCGGGAATCCTTAATTACAGGTAATGGCAAAATAGTCTGAGTCATGCGCAGATAGGGCTGGAACATGCGCAGATTGCACTGTATTTATCCGCTTACGGAATGTAATTATCCACTCCTGTAGCCTGCGCATGACTTTGACTAGCATTACCTATGATTAAGGATTCCCGACGGAATCCGAAACGTCAGGAAAATAAAACTCTTATTCCAGTGGTCGTATCTGCTTTTACTTCTGAACTGCTTCCGGGGACTCGCATATTCACTTCTGATGCAGGGAGGTTGACTTGTGATTGAATTAGTTTTAAGTGATTGTAGACCTACGCAACACACACCACCCTCTTCCCTGAGCCCGGCGTCAAGACACCCTTAAGAATTCTGGCGGCGTGATCGAACGCAGGTTGCTGGCATTGGTGAGGTCACCCCTATGCCCCTCCCCTCCCTTTGTTTGCCACGCAGCCCGAATAACGCCTGTCGAGCCCTGCTATTGAACATGATTTCCGAAAAAAAAGTATTAGAATATATAAAGGCATCGAAAATCAAGAGAAACAATTCATAGGAGTTCTCTCAGGTGTTATTTTTGGAGAGAATCAAGGCGAAGTGCATTCAAAGGCCTGCATCCTATCGCTGCAAGACGAAGCCGCGAGGGATTCGGTTCACCAATGGGTCATCATTGAGCGGAACCCCTCACAGCTGTGTAACCCAACGGCAGACGAAACGCGTGTCTGGACTTTTAACTAGTACCTGCCTTGTCAGTTTGGTAACTAATTACTTAAGCCATACTACCGGCTGCCTTTTGGCAGCGTGTGCTTATTACACGAGTATCCTGCAGTAATTCCTAGACTTCGACCTAAATATTCCTATCCATTTTCGGTCTGCGCCTGTAGACGCCTCAACATGAGGCTCTGGCTCAAGTTCAAAATTAGTTCCTGAGGGAGATAAAAAGCTACAATGAAGCGTAAAGTAACGTAACTCTTTACCCGTCGCATATCCGGCTTATTTTTGTGCGAGCATAGGCTGTAGCACAACACTTTTCTTTCTAGCTACCAAAGATACCGTAGGTGTCGTAACTCATTAATGTAAGTTCTAATTACGATTTAGAGGAGGTTGATTAGTATGCAGCTTAATTCCAAGGTATTTCGGTCGAGCCAGGAGGTGTAGTTTTGAATACGCATAGCTCGGGCCTTCTGCAAAGAGCGTACTCCTTCCTAATTGCTTTTCACTTGTTCTCTTTTAAGGTTCCGGCCGTATGCTAAGACAACTCTTCAGCCTGCTTCCCCCGAAGCTGTCTAAATGGGGAGTCGGAGCAGCGGTGACGGCCACTCCTGTGGCCCCTCTGTCTTCTCTTCGTCTGCCGCCGATCGCCCAGACTTCACTCAC